ATTCAGTTTTTTTTTTTAAATCAACTTTTACACAATCCAAAAAAAAAAAATTTAGGACAAGGCTTATGAATTGCAACACCAATACGTACCAAAAAAAAAAAAAAATAGAACACTGATAACGAGAAAACTAGAATTCGTCAAGCTCCAAGAACTTTAACTCAAGTTTCACAGTGCAAAGCATAGAGATTTCTTGTCTTTCACCTTTTCTGTTCCAACTTGACTCTTAAAAATGATACCCAAATCTGAAGTTCTTGGCCAAGACATCCAAATATAAGACAATATTCAAGTCCCAAAGGAAAGGACGTAAGTTAAGTCGCAAGCTAATACATGACGACAAAGCGTTTACGAAAAATAACAAAATGAAACCATTGGTCCTCTGATCAGTAAAGCCATAGGAGCATGCAAGTCTAGTGAAGAGAATCCTAAGCTTGGAAACCATGAAAGTCGTGCACCAAACAAAAGGAAAGAGGTAATTAATTGAATAACAATTAATATAACGTCAAACATGTTACTTATCGTGAATCTTATGCTGAGCTTAATATGCCAAAATGCAGCAATGAATAATATTTTATTTGTTCGGATAGAATATTATTTGAAATAATTATTATAACACTTTTTGTAATGTGATGTATGTGAAATAAAAATGTAGTTGAATATAAACAGAGGTGGATTAAAAATTGTGCGCGAAATGTTATTTAAAATAATGAGATGCAGAAACAAAGGCCATTTTAACCGGCATGTACTGTTTGTCTTAGTATTCCAAAGAAGTCCCTTAACGAGCCAAATGTTTAAAGGTCAAAGGGAAAGAGATGGCGCTACTGATTTGTGTGAAGGTATTCACTAATACTACTATTACTGTCCATTATCATTGTCCTAAAATGTCGTGCCCCGTCTAGTTAACTAATTGTTTTGTTCGTATGTGCTAATTAAGGTGCAAGGTGGGGCTGAGTTAGCATGTTAATTTCAAGCATTCTTGGACTTTTTGGCTGCTAGCTACTTTGTAGGTTATACTTTATGGTGCAAATTAAAGGTCATTTCTCACCCTACATTTCCTAGTGATGGAGTGGCTCACGAGCGACCATCTTAACTTTTACTATTATTCTCGGGCAACGTGGCCACACTGTCTAGCTAGCTAGCGTAATTGATAATTAAGCAAGTCTGCTCCGTACTTCATTTGCTTGGGTTGGGTGACGAGGACCTGCCATCAAAAGAATAATGTCCATGCACTGTTATACTTTCATTCTTTTTTGACTTTTATCTCACCTCATTTGACTTTGCAAACAATTCATTCGAATTCCCGTCAAAGGATTTTCGACGCATTTTAGCCAATAACACATGGGCATCTGTATGAGTCTGAAATATATATGTAATGTGAGTTTCTGTGCCAAATTCTGTACACAACGATGAAGCAGATATGGATATCTACAGAAAATGAATGCCTAATCCTTCCTATTCATAATGTTTTCCCCTCTCAGGGGACAATGTCAGCGATATAATGGATAAGCAAGACAGTTGCTGAAGAGGGTCATGACTAGTAACTTAATCACGGTGTATTGAGCTTAATTAGGACGACTATTACCTCAATCGCAAAGCATGCACCTAATTACCAAAGATTTGTGCCTTCGGGATGTGTACTTTATATGATCACAAAGTTCGTAACTTTGTAGTAGCAAAGTATGACAGAAACCAATGCACGGTCGTGAAATTGGAATCTCAAATAATACAGAACGGTAATCAAAACCTTTTGGCATATTAGGATCACATAAAGCAAGCAGTACCATGTTTGTTTCAAAAGTGAACTGCAATCATGCATATATTTCTTGAAAGACTACAAAATTAAGGGATTGTTCTAGCTTTCTAAAATAGTAAAACAATGATGTCCAAGAATTTGTGAAATAGTAACAAATCTGGAAAAAAAAAAAAGAAAAAAGCGGGTAGCAAGTTACTGCTTCTAAGTTCTAACAACAATGCAAGACAGGATTAAAAAGAAAAGAAAAACATGGATCACGGATTTAGCTAGCAACCATATAAAAGGAAAATACAAGTGCATGGTGAGTTTGAGAGGGCAAGGACAGTATAGACAGACGAGTCTTTTGCCAAAATAACTTCTTCTTTTTTTTTTTTCCAAAAAATATTCTTACAATGATTCAACTCTAAATTTTATTACTAATCTAATCTTCTGACCTTATCCCATAACAAGGAGCAACTCCCTCCATACTTTCTTAATCAAATTCTCATTACACTATTATTGAAGACTTTGTGGGTGAAGAGAGTTACAGTGAAGAAACAAACAAAGACAGATTAGAATATTATAGTCATATATGGAATTTATGGACCATACCAATGGCTAATGAAGGGGTTTACCCTTTTTCTCATTTTCGTTTGCATTTGATCGGACGGACAACAGAAAAGACTGACATGGGAAGAAAGTATGAAATTGAATCATTTTAGGATTTTTTTTTTTTTTTTGTGAAGGGAGTTATTTAGGCAAATATAGACTGTAGAGTGCTAACGGCTACGAATGATCCCACAAGGAGGAGGAGGTTTCTCTGGAGCCGGTGTTCCACTATGCCCACCACAACCGCAGACCACAGGTCCACAAGTAAATAAATAAATAAAAGAAGCCCCATTCCGGTATAATTAATCATGTAGAGAGGGCGTTTTGACCCCAAAAAAAAAAAAAAATGTAGAGAGGGATTGGGTTTTGCATATTTAGGCATTCATTCTGATCATTACGCACCTATCGGCAGCGCCGTTATGGCCCTAAAATAAATGACCATCAGTGCATGCCTCCTCCTCGGTCCTCTCCCACTCGCAAATGCCATTGGTACACCACTAGTTGTACTATCAGTTTTCAACGTCACAGCACCATCGATTTGCAACTTCCATTTCAGGCCTAATTACCATGATAGTCTTTTTTTTTTTTTTTTTTGCTTTAATTATGAGTCTAATTTGATTAATCAAATTTGAGAGAAATTAAGAAAAAAAAAAAGAGGGAAAAAGATCTAGCTGCATTGCAAATCATATTGCAAGTTGCAACTAGATATTCTTTATTTTTTATTGTGTAAATTTTGTTTACCTTCCCATCCCTCCTTATATCTTTTCCATCTCTAACTGTCAAACCCAAAAATTCGAATCTCGAAGTTTATAGTAGAAAAGGCTCTAAAAATTTTTCAGCCAGTCTTAGACATTGCCATGTCAAATATTTCTTCTCATGTAATTAGGAGGACATCCTAGAGTCATGCCAGTAAAAGCTGGGAGAATTACACTGGAATCATTAAGTATTACTATCATTTTAGACATTTTTTCGATTTCTTTCTTCATCATTTAACTTTCCTCCATTGACCATTCCCCTTCAACAACAATTAAACCTACCGCCTTTATCCTCTTTTCTTCTTATTTTCCAATACAAAACCTAGACGCCTCCTCTACCTCCCTCGATCACCACCAATTTTCCGAACTCAAAATGCATTACTACTATCCTATATATCCACTCAATTGGCTACCCATCTCATTTGCCTGCACACAGAAACCAGTACTTCTTCCTACTTCCGAGAAAACAGATGAAAACAGAAACTTAATATAAAAAGGAAAATATCTATAAGAATGAGGCCACTGCCGTTGATATGTTATGATAGAGAGTTTTTTGGCCCACTTGTTGAGATGAGTTTCACGTGCTAATTTTTTTTTTTAAAAAAAGTAAAGTTAAAATATTATTTAAGCTAATCAAACTAGAGAGCTTTTGATGTAATATATAGCTCAAATTAACATTGATTGCAAGGGAAAAAAAAATCTCACATCTGTAAAATGCAAGCAGTTTTGTTTCCAGTCTTAGTACTTGCAGGGTATAATACAAAAATGATGCATAGGACTACAAAGGAAATTAATCTCTCCTCCGATATGGGAATCCCTCTCAAAATGAATAATCTCAATCCTTGTACAAAATCGAGTGAAAACTTCAAATCGAAAACCAGTCCTCGATTCCTAAGTTTAGGAGAGAAGAAGAAGAAGAAGAAGAAATGAAAGTGACTGAAAAAGAAGCAAGGAAAAGGAATCAAAATAAATAAGGCAGGAAAATTAGTAGTGTCACTTTCTTCCACCTTCTGCCCCTTCAGGCGCGAAGCTGAAGTCAAGACAAGCCAAAGTTTGCCTCAATTTTCTCAGTAGCCAGGCAAACCATACTTACACAAACAGCCAAACCAAGTCGGTCTTTAAGTACAGCTCTATTGCCTGTGTCAATTTATGCAAAACATGGATCCGTGCTCAATCAAAAGAATAACGAGAGACTAAAAGATGGGAGTACATTTGAACAAGGCTAATTGAGTAATTTCAGTGCACCACACGACTAGTTCTACACCAACCGTATGCCGATATATTTGCAAAGTACTCCATCCGTGGTCCCAACGGCATGATCAGCCGCTTAGTAGTATAACTTTCCCCAGTTTCGCTGCTCCGTTGCTGATACACGTGGCCTAACGATGATGGTAATTGTTTTCCTTTTTTTTTTTTTTTTTGGAAAAAGTGAATGCTCCTTGCCAAATGTGGCAACTCTGATTTGTCCGTGCCACATAATTACAGTGTGAGTTTTTAACATAATCCACATTTTAATTAGAATATGAGTTTTTTTTTTTTTAAAAAAAAAAGATAATCCAGATTCACGGTCCAAAATTTCGATTGGAGTGTGAGTTACTCCTTACCCAAAAATAAAATAAAATAAAATAAAGAGCGTGAGTTACTAGAAGAGCATATGTCGTCATTATCACAAATTTGTGTGTTAATCATGGTCCAGATCTGAATAACGGAGCCGTCAAAACTCAAAGCCCAAGAACACTGGAGCTCCCCGTCATATATAACGGCGTTTAAGAGACCCATTTGCACCATCCCCCTGGACCACAAAAGAAGCCGAACTCGCAGTCACACGCTACTGAACAGCAGAGAGAGAACAGACAATATATATATATATATATATATTAGTGAGGATGGCTCAATAGAAACCCCATTTCTCAAATCGTCCAGAAGGGGAGAAGGGAGTAAAGTAGGGAACCCGCGCAAGCCAGCCAGCCAGCCATTAGCGTCGTAATCAACGTCGTCATATCTATCGCCTTCTCCAGCACTTTCTCTTTCTGTAACAGAAAACCAAACAGAAAAAAAAAGGAAAAGAAATTACTCAGCTGCTGCAGTGAAGAATCAGACTTTTGCAGACCCAATCTTCTTCACGTACTACGTGCCGAAAAAATTCTCTCTATCCCTCTCAGAATATCGTTCCGTTACAGAATTTGCGGATGACGTAGGCCGCAGGCTGAACAGAGAGAGATATACATATACATATACATATATATATATAGAGAGAGAGAGAGATAGAGGATCTGCAAATTTTTAATTTTTCTTTTGAAGAGAGAGAGAGAGAGAGAGGGATTGATATGAAAGGCATAATAGTAGCCAGAATGAGCAAGGATAAGGGTATTGGAGAGGAGGTGGCTGAGACAGATGTGGAAACGACCAGAGCTGTGCCGGCAGTTTCGGCAACGGCTGGGGAAGGGAGAAAGAGGAAAGTTGGCTGCGGAGGAGAGCTGAGCTATGCGACGTCGCTTGTTCAGCTAAGAAGTCATCGACGGCTTAGAGTTGATGATAATGTGATGTTGGATGATTTAACAGGAAATGCAGCTGCTACTGGTAAGTTGGACGATCCATGCTCGTCTTGTTGCTCAAGTAATGGATCGAGTGAGCTGGACTATGACACTTCGGAATCCGTAGATCCAAAGGTATGTCCCCAAAACAAGTACTACTATATATATACAAAAAAAAAACTTCAAAATTCAAAATTAGATTGTCCTTTGTAGTTTTAACGGCGCAATAAATAACACTTATGATCGAGGCTTGAATTTTTCGGATTGAATTCTGGTGCTGCAGGTGGAGGAGGAGGAAGAGGGGACTGTTGAGGTAACAACGTCGACGTATGAGTTGGAAAACTGCTGCAGAGAGAGGTAGTAATAGGGATGGAGACGAAGCCTTATTTATTTCAATCATTACTGCTATGAGAGGAATCTTCATGCACTTAATTCACTGTCGAACCATATATTACCCACGTCTTTTCACCTTGAATTCGAAATTTAAAATCAATCTTCAACGGTTTCTCATCTGGTGCTATGAGAGGAATCTAAATTACTGCTGCTAAGTTTCTTGAGTTTTGAAGTTCTCTCTTTCACTCTCCCCAGTCCTTCCTATATAAGTTGACATCTTTTGCCTGACAGTTCGCTTTACAGGAGAGGAACGGCGCCGTGGGCCGAGGTTCAAGCTGAATCAGGCGAACTGGAGTCAACAACAGCATCAAGGCTGCGGTCCATGTCGTCCGAGGAAAACTCTTCCCGCTGCCGCACATCGACGGAGGAGAAGAATATGCCATCTAAAGATGAACTAGAAGAGTTCTTCTCCGCAGCTGAAAAAAACCTCCAACAGAAATTTGCACAGAAGTATGCATATATGAAGATCCCTCTTTTATCTGACTCTCTTCCTCCCTTCCCTTCACATAATTGCAGCAAAATTTCACGACAGTATTGCAGCAAAGTTTTTCACCAATACAACATTGAAATATCGAAATTCATGTTAATTGGATGCAGGTATAACTTTGACATTGTTAAGGAGGAGCCGTTACAAGGTCGGTACGAGTGGGTTCGGGTAAACCCGTGACTGTGGCGAGAGTAGCTAGGGTAGCTAAGCACCAAGAAAGGAAAGAAGCATGGTCGGAGGTATCATCCGTAAATTCAAATTTAGTACTTCCAGTTGCAGTAGTGTTGTCCGGAGAGCAAGCAGTGGCAGAATCTAGGTATACTTTTCAGGTCAGGGTTTTAATGGCAGTCTTGGTTTGTTAATGCATCAGCCGGATGATATGTTGTACAGTTTAATTCTCAGTTTGGTAACCAGAATAGTACTAGATAGTAGGGATTGCTATTTAGTCCAAATAGTAGTAGTATTTTGATTGGGAAATGCAGAAAATGTTCCATTGAAATGTGGGAGCCGCTAATTGGTCTTGAAATGAAATTATGAATTACTGCTACATTTAGTACAGATTTGCGATGGTGAGGTACATGAAGGAGGAAAAGCTTCTTCTCTAAAAATTCAGTCTCCGCTTGGGGGAAGAACCCCGGTTGAATAAAAGCACTATTTTTAGGGAGTTGGTGCTTCCGCCTCGCCTTTAGCGTTTAGCTGTCTCCTTCTATTCTGCTTTCTTTCGTTTCTCTCTATGTGGCAGGCGGATAGTACGGGATGCCGATCCCTCTGACTAAAGTCTGCAGCTTCTCCTGCTGCTGCTGCTGCTGTAGTTTTTATTTTTCTTTTTAATTTTTCAGTTTCTCATGATATTTGGCAAATGGCAGTTAACACCGTTTTCCCCCTAAAGCATATTACAAGAAAAAGAGAGAGAGAAAAAAAAAAAAAAAGAAATAAGAAGGGACATCAATATTCTTTTATAATTTGACATCATGCCTTTCTTTCTATTGATTACTTGGTGGTCCATTCTTGTTTATGATTGGATAATATTTTTCTAAAATATACCAAAGTTGGCTGGAAGGAATATGAGGTAAAGGAGTCCAGGACGGAATAATTAATTGGGTGGATACCGGCACTTGCTTGGATAGAAGTGGTGTGGTGGAGGAGCCGCTGAGGAGGTGGAGATAAGAAGTCTGTATAGGCGTAAAGGCATAACAGAACCGTGAAATGTGAACAGAGCTTGCCGTGTAAGTAACGGACTTGTCTGTTTGAGGTCAGGGAAATTGATCTAATGTGATGTGACCCCATGTGGGCATGTAAGTGCGTGAGCGACTGTCTCCTTTTCAATTAAAATTAACTCCACTGATTCGTACATGTAACCCAATGTAAGTAAAACATTCCATCTTTTGGAGTTTTGGCTCCCCACTCTACTCTGTATTCGGTTATCTAACCTCAGTACAAATTGTTGGTAAGTGTATGTAAAGCTGTGTTTGTGTTGAAATGTTCTTCGATGTGTTCATCATTTCATCATTCATAGAAGGAGAGAGAGAAAGGAGGGGGAAAAGGTGCGGGGATTGAGTTGCTTCATACTACAAGGCAAGATGAATCTTGAAGGAAGGGGGCGGGGCGGTGGCGGTGGCGGTTGGAAGGGTGGTGAGGGTGGTAATAATCAATTCTAGGAGGTGAGTCTAATCAATTTTGCAACGGTGAAAGTTTTTACCATGGAGTGTGTGGGGAGGAGGGATGGTTTGTCCTCGTCACGTCTCGTAGTAATGATTAAGTAGGAATTATGGTAACAGAAAGTGGAACGAAACAGGAAAGGCATGGCACTGATTTGGAGATTTGGGTATCCTGAAATATTTGATTCTGGTGGGAGCGAGACTCCGCTTGAGCAGTGGTGGTAGGCTGTTTTAGGATGCCATTATACCATTCGCTCCTAGCATTATGTTATTTCATGCCAACTGAGCAAAAGAGATGCGCTCTTGATTCTGATACCCGAACCCACTTTACAGTAGGCTTGGGTAAATGGGCATTATATTTATGACAACTACAGTACTAGTACTACTCGGCTTATAATACTTCGCCGTTCGGGAATTGGGGTGCTTGCTCAATAAAAGGTCGAGTACGAGAGCTTTTCTATCAAAATAATAATAATAGTAAAAGAGAAGAATAACGTTAGTGCGGGGGACAAAATTCTGTTCAAGTACGCACTTTTTTGTACCAAGAAAAGGACACCTAATAGTCACAGGTTGCAGATTCATGTAAATTAATGAGAAAAATAATAAAATTTCTTCTTCTTTTTTTTTTTTTTTTGCAATAGGTTCACTTTTATTTTGGCATTTCCGTTTTCTTTTTTTTTCCCCCCCGAGTGAATTTCCTTGTTAGCTCAATTTTCTTCACAAAAGAAGATCTACGGAAAAAAAAAAAAAACAATTTTCCTTTCCTGTCAAAACAACTTGAGCTGAAATAGAACTTTCCACTGGCGCAATTTCTCCAAAAATGTCCATCAAGAGTTGTACGATTAGTACATGGAAACGAAAATCGGATTTGTATGAAATCTTTCTTTACACATGGTATGAGTCACAATGTCCTTGCACGATAGAAGTTGACTTTCAAATACAAAATTCCTGTGTAAGATTGACATTTTGGTGAACTAGGATGCTAATTTTATACTTTTTTAAATTTAAATTCACACCTTGTGCGAGTTTAAAAGTTAGTTATACTAGTCATTATTCATTAATACATCAAAGACAAGAATTTAGGATGAAAGATGTATATATAACATCACTCCTTTTGAATTTAGCACACCTTAATACGCTTACCCGCAGATTAACATCCTAACTGACTTATCCAAATTGAGTCATTATTTTCTTTTAATTTTTAGATCAACATACTAAAACATGATATTGTTTTGAGAATACTTTGACAGTCAATTTACATGAAACATTAAAACAGTGAAAAATGAGTCAAAATTGTAACAAAATTTGTAATGATTAATTAGAAGGTAAAACTTAATTAATTTTATACGAAATTTTATGTATGGCTGACACGAGTGATTAAATATATATCATAAACAGTATTGATTTTTAAAAATAATTTATAAATTCACTTTATTGGGATGTACACGTAATAGAGAAAAATTCTCTCTAATGCACGGAAGAGAAGAGGGAAGTGGGGAGGAGTTGTTCCATTGCTTGGTTAGGTAATGGCTTGCTACCGCACGTGTAAAGGGTTACGATTTTGAAACGACGGAAGGATATAGATTCCAAAATTAGTAGTAAAACGGATGATGAGAATTAGCTGGCAAGAGAACTTAGCTAAATGCTGCTATTTGTGCTTTAGAATCCCAAGGATGCTTTGAAGTTGATAAAAGCAATACTCTTTATTCAATGCTTTATTAATTGGAAAGAAGGACCATTAATAATGTTAATGCTAGTGGCTGCTGCCACACACGGCGGACTCTTTGGCTGCTAAATGGATTTAGCGTAATATATAGCGCTATTCTTTTACTTTTGAGTCTTCCTTTTTTTCCAGGACGGAAATAACACACACGCTTAATTAGAATAAACACAAAAGTTAAAGAAAGAATGACTCGCAAGCAATTTAAAAAGGACCGCAACGAATTCACATTCAGCATTGATCACAGAACGACCTTAAACCGCAAGTAAAGATCCCACGATCAGCTAATTAACAAAAGAACTATCCGAAAGCAATTTAAGAAAAACTCACAAAGAATTCACGTACAACTAATTGATAACAGAACAAAGATTCCTGCGAATTTTAAATCTAGAGTAAAGATATTACGATCTTTGGACGTGAGATGGTTTTACTTTTGAGTCTTCAGATTAGACTTTTTTAGCATGACGGTCCTAGCCGTGTAATAGGAGCAACGCCGCGGATCATGTATAACCAGCAGGGTATTCTTCTTGGATCTGGTGAAACAAAATTTTCAATGCGTGGAAGTTTGGGACTCGCAAAGCCAACAAAGTTACAACCCCTTTTAAGGTTTTAAATTCCGCCCGCCCACTTTGGTACTCTGAGAATTGTCAGCTACAAGCCTACAATATTCTCATTTAATGAATTGGGGAGAATATGCTCCCAGAGATTATTAAATCATTAGTACTACCTCTCATCTCATTCGCAGATAGAAATAAAAATAAAAAGGAAGGGATCACCAGAAAGGAAATACGCCTACGCAAGAAAGAAGAAGGACAGGCAACATCGCCAGGCTTTTAAAAAATAAAAGAAAAATTGTACTGCTACTACTGAGAACAATTCTCGTGCTTATAATACTAATAATATTGTGGCTTGTAAGCCGAGATCGATCAAGTTGATGCGAGGATCAGATAACATATCTGCTTCCTTTGCATCTTAAAGCAATAAAACATTACTAATGCCTTTTCTACACGAATCAATCAATATACTAATTGATTTAAGCTATAAACGCTTGAACTTTTATAAAACCTGCCTTTTTTCGACTTGGCTTTCTCTTCTTAAGCCTCAAGATTGAAATAATCCACGAGGAAATAGCTCGTTAAGTCCTGATATTGGCATTTTCAGTTCAGACTACTGCTTCTTTGATTTATGTATCCAGCATGCATGAGCAAGAGTTCGGGCTGCAAACGAGTCGAGTCGAGTCGAGCTTTGAACTAATCGAGCCGACTCTCGACTAAATTTTATGAATCTCGAGTTCGACGAGTCGGTAATTTTCAAGCTCAAGCTCGACTCGAATCAAGTTGAGTCGAGCTCGAGCTCGAAAAAAATAAAATAATGATTTTTTCTTAATAAATAATAAAATATTAAGGATATATACGTAATTTTACTATGAAAATAAAAATATATATAATATACGTAATTTTATTATTAAATAAAAATAAAAAATATATATACTCAAACTCGCGAGCCGACTCGCGAGCTAACGAGTTTAATATTTTGAGCTCGAGCTCGACTCGAGCCGCTCGTTTGCAGCCCTAGCAAGAGCACTTCAATATGTAACCTACTTTGATTGGAAGGGTGGTGGAAATCAATATATTAATCGAAGCATTAATTAGCTAGAGTAAATTTTATATACACTGTCAAATCAGTGTATATGCTATTACGATTGGATTGATGACACATGAGCAAATTTTAAATTTAAAATTCAAATATTACACACGTGTCATATATTCAATGCTGATAGTGTATATAAGATTAATCAAATTAGTTAGATCCTAAAAAAATTTAATTAATTAACTGGGAAAACTCACCTTGGCTACGATTGCGCGGTCTTGCATTAATCTGGCAGGTATACGTACAAAAAAAATTTTTAAAAATTTGCTGGCGATCAATAATAGAACAGTTAATTTAAGAAGCTAAGCTAAGCACCGTGACTAGTAATTGTCGCATTATAACTAATGAGCAGGCAAACTGTTCGTATCTCAAAGAAAATATCTTTTCACTTCAAAAGAAAAAAGCAAATATCTTTTTTTTCAGGTGAATATCTCAAAGCAAAAAAAAAAAAAAAAAAATCTAAGACAAAAGGATTTAATTAAGTCCGTACAATTCGTGACGGTGTGATGGGACTAGGATTGTATGGAGTACATAGGATGATAAATTACAGGTGGCGTCGGTCTCCTTCCACCATCTTACTCTTGCATCCTTTTAAATGTCATCATAATATCATTCTCTCAGAAGCAAAGGTAGAATTCGAGTCAATA